GAAGGCCTTAATCAGAAGAGAATTCCATACCTCAAGGTGCAACGAACTTAAAGCTCTAACAAAGGAGAAACAGTGAACAGTGGCACTCTCCGACGTAGCCGACTGGCCAAGAATCGAAGCCGTTGCTGAGTTTAGACTACGTACCGGACACGATTTCCTGGCAAAACACCTTCACAGATTGGGAGTATACACTCAACCCACATGTCACCTACATGTAACCTACAGGAGGAAATGGAGAAGACCCACCTGATTCGGTGTCCAGACCTAAAGACAACGACAAAAACCCAGATATACTGGGAAGCATGAAGACAACCTTGAGGGAAGCTGAAGTCAAAGTTTAAGGGCAAATGATAAATATCATAAAGCCTGCCATTTGAAATAAATAAATAAATATTTGACCACTTCCACAGCACTTACCTTTTTTACCTTTGCGTTTGTCTGTCCCTTTTACATCTTTGAAACGCTCTTCTTTCCCCCTTCCTCTCTCGACTTTTTTCCACTTTGATGTTCCTTCCCCTCTGTGAAACCCGAAGTCAACTAAAAGGCTAGTGATAACTATCAAAACGCCTGCCATTTGAAAAATAATAAAAACGAAAAGCATGCGTCTAAAAATCCGCGGGCTTAAAAGATTGAGTGGGTGCGTCTTTCAATCTTCCGATTTAATATTTGACAAAATACTAATTTAAGTGTTAACCTCATGCTCTGCCAATAACAATTGCGACATCAGTAGTTAAAGTACGAGAAATTGCAAAAAGTTATTGTCACCTCAAACTGTACCCGATATTCATATTTTGAAGGTTACTTATTATGTTCTGAAAGACTTTCGTCCTCATTTGCGTTTATCAAGTAATTAGACTACAAGCTAGCGAAAATAAGGCCAGAGACAAGGCAACCTGATGATTGGCCAAAGGCGAGCTGCATTGCTTTATGAGCAAAACCCGTCCTATCCTTCATTCGCTTTAGATTCTCCTAAGCAGGCTGACTGATTCAATACCCAGACCTGGGACAGTATAAGCTTCCAGTATTCTACTTAAACTCGGTCTTCATTTTCCCAATTAACCTCTATAATTGACCATTTCATGACCAGCTTATTTTGCCCTAATTGAATAAATGACACTTATTTCACATGGGAATAATTATGCTACCTTACATTTTTCCCAATATTAGATATTTATATACTAGTCAATATTCGTTGTAAAATTTGTTGACGAGTCATTTATTATGTGCGCAGATAATAAAACCTTGACTATTCCCAAATAAAAATTAATATCCGATTAAATAAAACTAAAAGTGGAGTAACGATTTATACAAAAATTCTTTCATTCTTATTTTGAAATAATTTTTTAAATAATTTTACCTTTACAATGGCTTATTTTATATTTCATTTTATTGTAGACGTTATTAGTTTCACGGATATTATTGACGTCTATCCCGACCGACAAGGACGAAAGGGAAATAGTAATAAAAATTCGAGTTTCTGTCTACTCTTGGTGGCCTCATGTCCTTCTCTGTCCTCTATAAGTTCTCCAAAATGTAAGCCGCTACCAACCCGTACTCGAACACTTTCACTAACGGCTCCCTCACCCGAAGCCATGCGGGTGTGGGTTGACGCCCTCTTTACTTGCGCTGGAGCCTATCTCTGTCTTCCAAACACAGCACTTTCCAATCAAGGACGCGATGAATCGACCAAAGATGCCTCCAGCAGTTGACCTGTATCTAAATTTCTTTCTCACCTTCTTCATTGCTTGTCAATTAAACAACCCCCGGACATTATTTGCATAATTATTTCCTTGTATTTGAAATATTTTATTTCAATGAATATAGAAATGTTATTTTATCCGCGTCTTTTTGCTAATTTTTCGTCTATTTATTCTTAAATTCAAGGTACTAATATACTAACTAATATAGCTCTAGTAATTTTCCCAGCCACTGCCTTCCACAAGTCGAAAATGTATTCTATGAGTAATTTCTATATCTGTATTTCACAAACCGGTTCAAAATTTTGTCTGACGCCAAGTCCAACAGGCTGTGGTGAAGTTCCCATTTTTAGAAATTCATATTGTTTAATGTTTAGTTATTATTTTACCTTCAATATAAATAATTTATCAAAAGGGACATTTATCTTTTTTCCTGTACAGGAGCCCGAACGCATCTAAGAGCTTTCAAATTAGGTGTAAAAATTAGTATTCATTACTGTGTACTTTATTCAAATAACTCTTTCAATAATAAACATGATCATTACACTTTAAGCCTTATTTTCAAACTTTCATTTAATATCATTTAAAGGGTCTGACTTTTAAAGGTTTTATACAGAACAGTTTTTTCCCCAATACCGTTTTCAGCCTTGAATTTGGGATAACTATTTGTCAGTTCACGACCACAGCGCTTGTTACATCCGACGAGAGTTTGTTGCATAACCGGCCTCAAGCTATTTCTTATTTAGTTCACGTTGTTATGTTCTTGGGAGTGTTAATCTCGGGACAATAGACGTTATCGACTTTTAGGTTAACTATTATTCACCAGTACCTCTTAATTTTTTTCGAAGAGGCAGTTGCACCAAACATTCACTCAACCAATTGACCTTTGCTATAATCCTTCAATTGCAAACAATCTAACCATTTCATACTAAAAGATGCAGTAAGGCCTTCGACTCAGTCCCTATTTATTGACAGAATTATTTCTATCGGACCTTTAGTCTTGATGGTTTCTATTTTCCTCATCCTTCGTTTACCCACACATAATAATAAAAAAAATTAATTGAATTTTGGAAATTAGTGTTAAGACACTTGTACAAATTATTCTTATTTTCCTCATAAAACTCCTTTCACTGATTTAAAATATCTTTCACCTGCCCTATTTAATCAGAAAGAGGCACCTACAAACACTCAGTTTGGTGATTATTCGTTCCAATTTGAAATTTATATTTTATTTTCTGTTTGTCAAACACTCTCCCATGTATGTACGTACATATTCTACTGCGTTATGGCACTTCCTATTGGCTAGAATGTCAAGGCCATATTCTGCATTTCGATCGTCATTTCGTCTCCCTGTGTCAGTTTATTAACCTTAGGTGCTGCATTTCCCTGTATTCTTGTTTTGCTTTGGTTTCTATTCAGTTTTACTTCGGAGTAAGGGCAGCTGAAGTAGGGCACGTAAAGTATCAAAATGGGATGAGGGGGATCGTTAGTTAGGTGTCAAAGGATTTATTTTATTTTTTTTTCAGTTTCCAGTCACAGAGTATTCACTTGTTGGGAAGTCCATTTCACCACGTTCCAAAATTCGACATTTATAATTCGTCTGGTGAATGACTAGTCACTTTCCTATTCATAGTTTTCATTGTTTAGTGACCGGCCGCTTAATGGTTGCGTTCAATTTCGTCAATTTAATTCTTTTTCACTTCAAAAGTGAGAAGAAAACAAATTGATCTAGCCTGATCTTAACCAAATCGGCTGATCTTAATGTAAAAGAGATCAGTGAGCATTATTGGCGCTTATTGATTGGAACGAATAATTAATTTATTTTAGTCTGAACCCATAATCTACAAATTACATCAAAGATCTGCATCAGATAATAAGGTGCATAGGTTCCGAAAATTATTGTTTTCCTATAATTAAAATGCACAATTCGACAGCATTACGACGTTTTGGTTAGCTGACTCCTCTTCCAACACAATATTGGATTGATTTAGTAAATGTTTCCCGTCTGCTTTCACCAAATGTCCAACCGAATAGTCAAGTGTCATTTAATTGACCAAGCAACAGTAACTATCCATGTGAACGTTCAAAGTTCCAGTGCATTCATAAATCATAGATACTGCTGGAATCGCCTTTCCATACTTTTCTCATCCATCTTTCTATGGAATTTAATTGTGTTCAAGAAACCAATATGCGCCAAATCGGCCAAGGCAAACTGATATCAACTAATTATCTCTTCATATTTGCCAGGTAATTGTTTAGTCCCAAATTTCGATACAATAAATGGAATGAGGCTGGATTTTGTTTACCGACATTCCCTAAAAGTGACAGTTGCGTTTCGTTCAGAGTAGAGATAAATGAATCTTCTATTTCTATCGAACTGTTCTTAACAAAATATCATCCATCCCGCATATAAAAGCGTTGCAAACACGACTGGACGAACAAAATTAACTCTAATAACCTAGCTTTATCACCATAGTGACGCGATGACAACCTTCCGACTGGTAGCTAAACCACAAACGATGAAACAATACGATCAGAGTTTTGGCAAATTCAAGTCATTCCCCCCAACCCCATCAAGTAGCATGCTTATCCAACTCAACAAGCAATGGCCAGCAGTCGAGTTGTCATATTTACAGCCCCTCCGAACCCGACTTCATCCCCCATATTGAAAAAGACAAGAGTAAGTCATTAAAGCGTTTTATTCAAGTAATCATTCTTTACAAACACGAGTGACTCACCTAAAATAAGAAATTATGCCATTAGTAGTCAGTAATTGAAATTATATCAAAATTCATACAAGAGGTGTTAAATCATCACATTAACGTTGCCACCAAGTTACCTTATGCTAATTTCAAGCAGAGTAAAGGACGAAGTTTCGCAACAAATTCATCCTACCAATAAAAGCACTTTTGTTACTTTCAGATTAGATAAATCGGAATCATTCGTCATAAGAGGTGTCAAATCATCATCTGCTAGCAAGGATGCTTACATTCCCAAAAGGCACCGATAATTGGCCTAAAAACAAAAAAAAGGCTCTCAGAATTTGAAATATCAGAAAGTAAGGTTGAAATCATAGATGTTCATATGAACTATGCAAAACATCATGCAAAGACCCACCGTCAAGTGATCGACAATGTAACCTCGAAGCCGGCTGCAAGTCTACTCGAAAAGAGAGAAAAAAATACCTCATTTTATCGCTAATTTGTTGTAAGTCAGATAGGGGCGAAAATAAGAATTTCATGTTATTTCATAACATTTCAATCATCACTCACCAGTCTGATCTACACACTAGGATGACACTCTTGCTCTGCAGTATCTCTCTAGTTCTGAAAATGAAATACACTGGTTACCAATCAGACGAACGAGACACTCGTCAGGTATCCGAGTAAAATTTTGTCATCAAAATGGCCAGTGGAATTACCCACATTCAATAAACAGCAGACCACGTCTCCACGCTCCCTACAGAAAATACGCAAATGTCAGCGCAACGTCACCTCAGTGCCAAAAATTGTTTTCATTTGCCATCAATAGCAGAACTGGCTTAGTTATCATCATTAACTTACCGATTCATACGGAAATTGCCAACACCAAGCCCGTCGCGTGTGCCTGCAATAAGAGATTAAAACGTTAGCTCTCATCTCAGTGCCATAAGTTGTTTTCATATAGATCAATAGCAGAACTGGCTTTGTTATCATCATACACTTACGACAGACCAGCGCACTGGCCATAACGCTCAAGCACGTGTAATCGATGGAACCGCCATCAATACCTGCTTGAACGTATTAAGTGCGTTTATCCGTGCTTGGAAGTATTTTTAAAATCAGTATTTATTCAATTCCCCTCTTATGTAACTGCATTATTTTATTAATCTTCTTTACCTTCTGAATATTCAATAGCGAAATTGTTATCTGCACCAATTCAGGCACATGTCTTAAATATTATGAAATAATGCTTTATTGTAACAAGCAAATGCTCTATTTTATTTAACGGCAATAAAGAATCGGTTTAGATAATGTCACAAATAAATGAACCAATAATCTTTAGGGAATTCTGCATTTTCCCAATATCTTATATCCTCTTCAAATTGTAGTTGCGATGCTCGATTATTAATTTAATGTTTGGGCATAGCAATATGCTATCTCAAGTCAGTTTACCTGTTTAGCTAACTACTCAGTTTATTTATAGATTTTGTATCTAATAACTAATCAACTAGGAATCTTAATTCTCTCCGTCTTCAGGATAATTTCACAGTCACCAAAGCATGAGACAAAGTGAGAAGTATTTAACACAATATCATAACACTATTTCACTAAACGAGATAAGTCCCAGATTTTCTTCCGTCATTCTTCTCTGAGTGATTATTTTCCCCATCCATCGTGTAGTAATCCACTACAATTTACAAAAGTTTACCCGATAACATTTATAGTTAATTGTTAATCGTGTGTAGTTTTCCGATAGAACTTTTTCCCAATAGATATTTCGGTAATAATTTAACGCATATTGTCGATCGTTTGATTTAACTTCGAAAGTCGGAGTTTCAATCATACTAGTCCAATGAATTACTTCCCTGTCCTCCCATTCGCTTAAAACTTTGGCAGACAATAGGACTAAGTTTAATTCCCCTTTGATGTAAACAGCTAATTACGTTTTCACATCACGCAATATGATTTAGGGCTTACATGTAGCACATACCAAGTATTATGTCTGAAGTAATAAACAACTGAATATGGTGTAAACCAATATTTATTTGATTAACTGAAGATTAGTGTTCTTGGTATTGCCTATGGCATATATTATGGTACAACTGGTTTTGAACATGGTGTAAACTAATATTCATTTGATAAATAGGAACTAGTATGCTCGACATTTACTAACTCTTGGAAGATAGGTCTGCTTGTTGCGCAACGTGAACGAAGGTCGCTAGTTTGTTGCAGTTACCAAATCGGAGAAGCTGATGCATCAGAAACAGATTGCAGAAGCGGGAATCAGAGCTGTCTACTAGCACCAGCAAACGGATATGTGTGCTTATATATTTCGTTTACAAGTAGCACTGTCTAAATTTGCCAATTTGGGAGGATTATAGCACTCTGAAAGAGTAAGGACAAAAGATCTTTATACCTACGATTAGATTCGTAAAAGTTATGACGAATTTGCTATTTGGTTACAATAGTATTGACGAAAGTGTTTAAGATATCATTCTCAAACAATGTTAGGAGCTACAAACCAATCACGTACTAATAACGCCTTATTTTTCCCTTTAGACGTTGAGCAGCATATGTGGAGTGCACAACGCTACCATAGCTGAACAGAAAATAATCTGGAAGGTGATGATCGCGTAGGGATCGAAAGCGGAGATTGCAGAGACCCCTCAGCTAGCCACCAATCGATGGGCGTCGAAGTGTCTGAGCAACGACAATTGTATTTCAACTACTAAACTCTCACTGGCCGTAAGTTGTAATAAACGTTATTTGCTCCACACGCCTTTTCTCTTTGATACTGCCGAAGTAGCTTAGCTAATATTGTGAATAATTTTATACTAGTCTATTTCGCCGGAGGTTATCGCTTGTGTAGTATCCGCCATGGATTTTAGGGGCTCAGTAAACTGTAAAACTGGGCGATGTCTACTTTTCTTCTAGTGGAGGGTGCGATAGACTTACCTCCACGTGGAGCACCCTGGGCAACGTATACACATTCGGCAAAAAGTCTATTAACCGGAAGTTGACTTCTGACTTCAAACAGCCATCACCCCACTGTGTCATATTCCAACACTTCCACAGTACTACCTTTTCTACCTTCGTCTTTGAAATACTCTTCTGTTCCCCTCCCCCTCCCGAATCTTTTTCACTTTGATGTTCCTTCCCCTCTGTGAAGCCTAAAGCAACTAAAGGGCTAATGATAACCATCAAACGCCTGCGGTTTGATATAAAAAAATAAAACTTCTTCTAGTAGGCAAGTGATACTTATATTTTCTATGTAATTGCACTAATTACAAATTCAAAATCGACCAAACCCGCAAAGCCAGAACAAGTCAAATTTTCACAATATTGGTATTTCCTTATTTTGCGTAAATCAAACAAGAGTTGAGCTGATCTGGGTAGTACCAATCAAATATTTCACTTATGAAATAACACCATCGCAATCCTTGGGAATATTAAAAATGATAAAAAACCATGAATCCTAACCTGTAGGACTCGTTTTGGTGCAATACTTATACTGGCTATTGGAAGAATTTAATACTAAAAAAGAAGTCAAAATAGGCATGTTGACGTACTCCGCTCAGTTGAAAGATTTATTAATATGTATGTTTTGCTCGAGTTTATACTGTAAGAAAACACTTGCAACCCCATCAAGATGGTCCTTCCGTAGCTCCGGGGTGTAAACCCAGGCACTCCATTCACGAGTGCAACGACACCGAGGACTCAAAGAGAATTGGCAAGTTGAAACCGGCCTAAGTAGACTTCGTTGGTGTAAACTTCTCGAATGGCTCCAACCTTATACACTCATCCTTACTATGATGCGTAATTACTCTGATAATTTGGAACCTACAATTACTCCTACTCAAACCTTCAAGAATAACGTACAGCCTATCATCTTTGTCCTCAATCCTGCCATCCAACCGTCTTTTAAATACACAATCGCGTAGTTGCCTTCCAGTATGTGCAATAATTGACTATCGGTTGTTCACTCCTCCAAAGTGGTGAATACCATGCGCCTCAGTACTTCCAGAACCAATAACAAAAACCACACCCTACTGTCTACAAGAATATTACTTCATAGATCCCAGTTATATCATTGGGACAAATTTAATAATTTCAATCAAGCGCGATAGCGCTGCACTTGTCGAACGAAGATTCGAAAATAGCACTCAATTGCATGCCCATAAACACGCGTCTCTAGTAAAAAATTACCATTGAGGGATTACGTTTTACAAATGAATTTTAAAACTGCACATTGAAAACTGAAATTCAACTTTACTTATAGACCCACCGATAAACTTATATACACTTTACCCCTGATACATAATTAAAGACAAATAGTGCGAAATATGATAACAAATAGACCAAATACGTAGCCAAATGCTTTGAAACCAAAAATGCCTTGATAGGTAATAGGAAAAATAAAAAGATATCAATATAATTGTCTAGTGTGATAAAGATGGACCTAAAAATGGTAGCGACATTTTATAAAATCTTAAAAGAAATAAGCCATTATCCTAAAGCAATCGCACAAACGAGTAACATGACAGGAACACTAAATAAGGAATAAAGAACAAATTATACCTTCATCGACAGCTTGTATTCAGATAGATACAAAAAACAATTTACTTAGAAGCGCAGGCTACGGAAGAGCCAAGGATTCTCATTGGTACGGTACCTAAGATATATGACTGAGAAAAAAATAACTTCTTACCTTTCCTGGAACTTCATTTTAGCATCAAGGAGGGCAAGACGCTTCTTCTGCTTGTCAGCAAGACAGTTTTTATTCAAAACATTTGTATTGAATTGAATGTTAACTGTGTGACGGGTTGGCATTAGATGATTGTAGTTGACAAGTTTAACGAAAGGCTTTATCTTTGATCGGTTATCAATTCGCTTTTGACTCATCTTCCTCAAAACGCGGCGAGGGTAGCGATCAATACCAGCAACGAGAGCGTGACCATATGGTTTTTTAGTAGATCCATCGTCGTAATTTTTAATTACCACCGCCTTACGACCGGCATACCTTCCACTGAGAATAATGACTGCCATACCAGGCCTCATTAGCTTCAAATTTGACCTAGAACACCATTTAAAAATATACGTGCACCTACTTCGTCTCCTTAGACATGTCCAACACGGATGTGGCGCGGTAAAGTGAACACTAATGCGAACTAAGAACGATATTTTGCTCTCGGGGTTCATGAAAAATATGATGAAAATAAAATATTAAAAAACTTGCTGCTTTGAAAAAATTAATTTTTATTAAATTACAGGGATATATTTATTTTAATATTTCTCGAAATAAAGGAAATATTTATCAAAGTTATATGGAAATTTTATGCAAATAAGAAAAACATATCAGTAGATCTCAAGTTAAGATAATCTATAATTAAATATTTCATAGGTCTCATATATATTTGTCAAATAAGACGATCAATCTAATGCCTCCATTTTTAATATTCCCAAGGATTGCGATGGTGTTATTTCATAAGTGAAATATTTGATTGGTACTACCCAGATCAGCTCAACTCTTGTTTGATTTACGCAAAATAAGGAAATACCAATATTGTGAAAATTTGACTTGTTCTGG